CTCTCTCTCTCTCTCTCTCTCTCTCTCTCTCTCTCCTGCGCTCTCTCTCTCCCTCCCTCTCCTCTCATCTTCCGCCGTTCCTTCAAAATTCCTTAACCCCTAAAGCCTTCCGTCACCCCTTCCCCTCCACGGCATGTGACTAACTTCTATCCTCACCGTTACATTGTCAGGGAACGAACGGAAAGGAACTTGGTCCTCACTTGGTGGAGAGCGAGGGCAAGGGAAGGGCTGTCGGTCCCTTGTGCCACCAAGAAGGAAAAGGATACGAGACTATTGAAGACGGTGAGAGCAAAAGGGAGTGTTGTTTTGGACAAGGTCAGTCGACTCAACCACCTCCTCGACTGCATGCCTGAGTAAGAAGAGTATGGTTTGATTGTGAGGAAGGAAGGAAAGCACCCAAAAGCATGGAAAAGGAAAGGAAAGACTTGGACTTGCATGAGGGGCGGTGTGTTGACCCCATCGGGGACGGACGTATGTCATTGTCGTGTTTATTTGGATGTGTTGCAGGTAAGTGGCTTGGACGACCTGGCAATGGAGGGATTGTGCGACATGGGACCGTAATGAGGAGAAGGGGGTTTGAATCTCGAACGGTCAGGATGGACTTTGGGCTTTGACAATTGCATGACTAGAGTGACCTCAAAAGACTAAGGGTCGGGGATGGGGTTAGAGCTTGACTTTGCCGTGATCTGTGGTTGTGGCTGGGTCGTGAGTTTTGTAGGACCGCCTGGAAGGACTAAGGGCGGTCACGAGACCTGGGAGATGTATGCGTAGGCCAACTAGAGGAAAGATAGGGGCTAGGGGCAAAGGGACGAGCCGCCCCGATGATGCTATAGGAGACCAGGGCCGTTAGTGAAGGAGTGCGTGGCCTAAGGAGAACGCTTAGCCTACACACCGTAAAGAAGAGAAAGCTCTCAATGAACCTCCCTGGACTGCCTGAGTATTGGAAGGAGCAATTGCCTGGTAAGACAAACAGAGAATCGAAAACCTTACGCTTGCGGACCTAGACCAATGAGGCTACCACCCGGCTAGAGGGTTGAGCTACATCCCCAATGTGAAGCCCTCTCGCCCTATTGGCCCAACCCCATCCATCTCATAACACTAGGTGGGGGTGCCCCTGGGACGAACGACCCGCGCCCTGAGAGTGAGCGTGGGCGGGTTGAGCCAAGTGGGACCCGCAGTGGGGTCGACCAAGGCTCGAAAGTCCTTCAGGGTTCGGCCCCGACAAAATGGTGGAGGCGCTGGGTAAGGGTTAAATTGACCCATACGATCTCGAGGGGGGCGCCCGACGCATGACCGAGAACACAAATGTAAAGATAAGGAATATGGTCTTGTGTGTGCTCTATCCTCTGAGAGAATCAGATTTGAGGGTGGCTGGGCGCATGGCAAGGCCAGGCCCGGACGAAGAACATGCATGTTTGCACTTTTACTCAACCATCTTCTTTGGAGATGACTCTAGTCCTTCTTCCCTTGGTCTGATGTTCGTCAGGCCGGGGAAGCTTTGGGCAAGCTGCAGGTCGACCCTTCCTCTTCGTGTGAAAGAAGGGCTCCGGTTACCTGGCAAGCGGTTGGGATTCCGGGCCAGTCCGGGTTCCAATGAAAATCTCGCGGCGAAGTGATCAGACCGACCTGGGTGCTTCTCTGCTTCTCTTCAGAGCCCAGCGGGCTCCGTGCACCGCACTTAAATGCTTGAAGGAACCTCATATGAACACAAACGGTAATCGAGAAGAAACAATCCTGCCCTATGAACGGACACACAAGTGAAGATGAAGGGAATGAAGGGAGTTGCTAGACTCTAGGGAAAAACTAGCTCCCCCTTGAACTTGCTCACGAAAAGGAACCGAGCACTATGTATGGAAAGTAGGGGTGAGTGGCACAGACTGTCCTGAGAGAAAATTTGTGAGCTAAGGGTAAAAAGCGCTGGGTGCACCAGGGGAAAGGCACTTATGTTATGTGTGTCCCACTTGGGGCTTGTGATTGCATGATTGGGATTTCGAGCGTCCTGCCATTCGGAAGGAAAGGATTGGTTTGCGCTGGCCTGTGCGGGATGCGAACTGGTCGTCCTCTTTGAAGTTTACCGGGTTGCGTGTGTGGGGGTCAGGCCACTGGACTGTCAGGCAAGGGTTGGTCTCGTCGGCTGATTAGTAACATTCTCACCCAAGCGGTCCGAGCATGGCTCAATGACCTTGACCAGGCGGGATGTGAAACCTCTTCAGGCGGGGTGGCTGCTTGTCGGCAGACGGCAAGGGGACCACTGCATATGGGGCAAGGAAGGAGTCTCGGAGGCAATTAAAAACTTCTCGTAGCATGGCTTGGGAAAAGTTGTTCCTTATCGGACCGGTGGAAGTGAATGTCTGGACGGCTGGCTCCAATGGCCCTACCGAGATGTGCGGGGTGATTCCCGAGATTAACGGTGGGTACACGAGCGGCCAGTCGGGATGGGGTATTTTGGGTAAGGAGGAAAGGGCGAATGCCTTGCCGAGACCTGGGTACCACGCTCGCGACGGTTGAGCTGTGCTGTAGGTATGGGCTGAAAACCCTGCCGATAGTAACGGTGGAGAGACCATTTCTGGGAAAAAGGTCGGTGAGGAGATGACCGACCTGTGTGCGACGTTTGCCTGGTTTTGCTTTTTCTGCCTCCCTCTGTAAAGTTGCCTGATGAATATTGGAAGGGGACCGAGCTTCTAAGTCTATTCTCACCTCCAAGTCTAAGTCTGCACGAGTGAGAGAGCATGAGGAAGAGGTTGGATAGGAGTCGGAAGAAAGTGGAACCAAGAAAAAGGAATGCGAGCCACGGGTGATCGATTGGGGGGGGGGGACTGGTTAGGGATGTGGCGCTGGCTGATACGCTTGGAGGATGGGTAGAGAACTTTAGGGAGACCTTGATGAGGGGTCTCTAAAAACAACGCCCATCTAGAATAATGGTGGACCCAACCCTAGGGCCGATTGGTGCGCTCATTGGACGAAACAGGTCTTGGCCACCGGTATAAAGAAGGCAGGATGGCGCAGTGGGTGGCGTCGCCGACCTACTCAGATGGACCAGAGATGCCAATAGATGTGAGGGGTGGGGTAACGTGGACGGACCTGGAGCTGGCCTATGAAACCGTAATGCTGGCCGAAAGTGATGCCTTCCTATGGATTGAGACGATGTGGACTAAGGTAACCTTGGCCAGGATAACGCCGTGCCTATTGGACCTAGAGTTCCGGGGGACCGTGGAAGCCCGGGGATGGATCTACCTGTCAAAGGGGAGGGAGACTGCGATGGTTGTGGAACTCGCCTTGGGAAAACTTCCGTACAAACTTTTCAGGGAGGCTGAGCGAGAAGTAGTGTGGGCCGCGTGCCAGCGGGTGGAAATGACGATGGAATCGATTGATGTGCGGGTAGAACTTGGGGATAGGGAAAACGTGCGGAAGCCGTACAGGGTCATAAGGTGTGTCATGCCGCCCTTCATGGTAGACGCCGTCTTTGGAACCCGGAGTAGGTTGGTGCAAATATGCAGGGCCATGGCAGGGTTGGGGTTGCACCAAGGAGCCCGCCAGGATTTCTTCCGGTTGTCGGTCGAAATGAGACCTTTCGAGGGAAACTGGGCAAGGGAACTGGCTGAGATTTTAAACCATCTCAGCACAGACGGCTTGATCATCCCAAGCAATGTGCACTGGCGGATAGTTTACAGGAATGTTGCTGTAGGGGAAATCTTTTTGGAGGGTGTACGGGACCTGTGGCCCGAAGAAAATGAAGATGACTCCGAGGAGGAGGACGAGATGGAAATCGAGGAACGGGATTTCTAGGGAAAAGGGGGGCTGAGGACGGAGTGGTTGGGTCACGTGGGGGTGTGCAGGGAATCAAGGATGGCAAGGGAGCAAAGCTTGTGGGCACGGATGTTTAGAGGATGGACACCTAGGAGGGTTGAGGGCGGGGTAGAGATGGTCTTGCCAACAAGGAACGAGTGGCGCGGCGCGGCCTGCGACTGGGTGGGAGTAGAGATGGTACCGACTATGTCCTTTTTGTGGGTAGAACGGGTGTGGGATCCGGTTCGAGAAAATGAGGCATGGGATGAAATAGCGGAGGGGAACGTGGAAGCACTTGGGATGGTGTGCCTTTCGAAGAATGGGTGGTATATATTTTTCACGCACCTAGCGGCGGGACGAGATCCGATGTGGATTTTAGAGGATGTCGAGCGGTTAACTTGGGAAATGGGGCAGGATTTTGCAAATGAGGGGTGGGATGAAGTGGGAAGCAGGGTCGTGATGGGGGGATGGGAGGACCTTAGGCTCCCCTACCAGTTAGTCCAGGTGAAGGTGCCGCATTTTGTTGCAGATTGGTTCGGAGAGTACGAACATATCCGCGCAGTAGCGGAGTCCATGGACGAGGTAGAGCTAGGCTTCACCTGGTTGTTGGACACTTATTATGAAGCGTCGTTGCGATTCGGGCCGTTTCATGGGGACCGGGCTGAGGAAGTGATCGAGATCCCGAAGGAACTTAAGGACTACCGACTAGAGGTAGGGGAGGAAGTCGAGCAGGCGATACTCGGTCGGGAAGTAGCCGCAGCGCCCTCGTATGTGGGGGATGTCTTCTTGCTGTTTGAGGTCCTATAGATTTGAGTACTGACCTGGGAAGACAGGGGAATAGGGGGATTGATTGGGAAAAGAAAGGGCATTGTACATTAAAAGAAGGGGTAGTGTACACAAGAGATGTGTATAAGAGACAGGGAGATAAGGGGAGAAGACGAGAACTAAGGGAACTTGACTAACGTGGTGCGTGCAGAAATCAAGAGCGAGGAGCGGGAGCAGGTAACGAGAAATGGCTAGGCGTATGACGCCTTGGGAAATTCGGTCGCGAGGGATCTTGCCGCCACGTTTCTTGGATAGAAGGGTGGAGGTTAGCCTGCCCTCCAAGGGCGGGGTGTATAATCCGGTGATGGGCTGGGTTGGGGTAGAACTAGTAGAGGACACGGTGTACCTGGTGGTGGAACTAGAATGGCACGCAAGGGGTGAGTTTGGGGGCACCAACCTGGAGTTGCCAGGATGGGTGCACGCGACAGGGTCCCTATACTTGTCGGATGCGGGATGGCGGACCTTCGGGGTGGCCCTGGCGGATGACGGTGACCCCGTACGGATGTTTGACGGGGCGTGGAAGGTGACCTGGAGGGAAGGGTTTGCGTTCGCCAGCCCGGACCGGGATGACGTAACGGCGACCGTCCGGGTGGTCGAGGTAGGAGCTAGTATCTTGCCTTATGAAAATGTGCGCATGGTTTTGCCACCCTTTTTGCTTGAGCGAATGGGAGGGGTAGAACATGCTGAGATGGCAGTAATAGCCCTGGGTAGGTTGAGTTTTAGTAACATGACCGTCTATCGAGAATACTATCGGGCCTTTCTGGAACTAGGGCCGTTCGATGAGGAGCAGGAGTACGAGGTGCTAAACATTCTACAGGCCGTAGTGGGCACTAGACCTAGAATACTGACGGTAACCGAGGAAGTCGTGTGGGAGATAGCTAGGCGCGAGATAGGATGCGGGCTGACGTATGTGGACGACGTCCACCGACTGTTCGAGGGGGTAGAAGAATAGGAGGGCAGAAAGGAAAAGCAAGGGGGAAGGTAGATCAGCGGGATCGGGCTATAAGGGGCTTAAAGAAAACTAAAAAGAGAGGTTCCTTTTTCCTTTTCCCCTTTTTTTTTTGCGTGGTGTATGCATGGCGATATTCGCCAACAATGGCGGCAAGACACGTCCGTACGAACCGGCGGGACATGCACCCGCAACCGCCCATGGAAACCGGAGGCGGATGGGAAGTGTCACTCCCGACAAGCTACATTGTCCGGGGGATAGATACGGAATGGCGGGCTGTGACCCTAGGACGGAATCAGGCTTTCATGCTAGTTGAATGCCTATGGGGTGGCATGAGATTCGATAGGGGGCCAGGAGACGATTTATATACTGACCTCAGGGTGACAGGGACTCTATATTTCCCAGAAATCGGGTGGCAAATGTTGGGAACTGGGCTGGCCTTGGGGCATGGGTTGTTACCAGGGTTTCGGAGGGCAGTCAGGGTCCTGAACCGGATAGGCCATGAGGTTAGGGGAAGACGAAATGTGGGATTAAGGACGCGAGTAGAAGTAGGGGGATGGCGAGACTTTAGGGCCCCTATGTCCGGACTGTGCTGCCGGGTGCCCCGGTTCATGGTTGATTTGGTTTTTGGGAGTCTCGCGCGGGCAAGGGACCTGGTGAATTCAATCGTAATCTGGGAACGCTACTTCTCACCACAGGCCACGGGGATGTTCTATGACGTAGTAGTAAGGCACGGGCTGTTCTGGGGAAATCGGGCGTGAGAATTGCTGGAACTTTTTGAGATCCTGATATTCGGAACGCCCCGTCTGTCGTTTGAGGAATACGAGCCGATAATCATAAGGGAGATAGAGATGGGGGAGAACTATCTCGCAGGGGTGGCAAGACTATTTGAGGAACCGGATGAGAGGGAGAGACCGGAAGAGCCAGCATAGGAAAGATGCCGGGAAAGATGGTAGAAATAAGAACCAAAGGGGAAAAAAAATAGGTATAAAAGAACCGATTGGATGGCCGCGACCAGGTCTACCATGGGTTGAACACATGCCAGGAAAAAGGAGGGGGGGAGAGACGCCGTTGCAACCAAAGGTGCGGCTAAGATACCTAGGATAAGCAAAGGGAAGAGCAAAAAGGGGTGAAAAATAGGCAATTCTAAAGGCTAAGAGAATTATGTGCGATTGCCAAAAAAAATAAATTCCTTCTTCCATATCACAGGGCTAGAGGAAGGAAAACATGGCCACGGGAGACGAGGCTGGAAGTCAATTGAGGGACAAAAATCAGGACGTAGAGGACGATGTAGATCAAGAAGAGCGGGACCTAGGGGATCGGGGGTCGGCAAAGTTACTATGAAACAGGGAGAGGAGCAAGGACGCTGTGCCCGGGGAAGATTCAGGAAAGAGCGGGGGAAGTAAACGGGGGACTCCGGGAACCAAGGAAGTCAGAGACAGGGAGAGTCCGGCACGTCAGCAGCCCGAGGGGGCGGAGCCGAAAAAAGTCAGGCTAACGGATGCATGGAGAAAGCTAGCTGAAGTAGAGAGACGCACGGCAGAATACAGGGCAAAACTATTGGAAGAGATCATGAACGATGCCGAGAAAAATGCCGCTGATAACAGGACGTGGGAAGAAGGGGAACTGGACCTCGGGCAAGGAAGCCAGGATGGGGATGCACAACACAGGAAGGATCGCCCCAAAGACACGAGGGATACCCCAACAAGGAAAGGGAAAGAAGGAATAGAATTCCTTAGGGAGGATAAGGATAGACCAGTCAATCCAACCCTACTGGACAGCGGAGCAAGCCGACCCTCGGCGTCGCCTGTAAGTGCAAGAGGATGCGAGGGACTCTGGAGCCTGAGGGAAAGGGTGCTAGGATGGTTTGACCCGGAAGGGATCGCAAAGCCAAAAGGGCAACTCGATTTTAGCAAGGAAGGCGCCGGTCCGAGTTCCGAGACAGGACCTGGGATGATTGAGGGAGGTCTTAAGAAGGTGGTGTCGTCCCTCACGCGTGCTCTAAGCAAAAACCAGGGATACTTGGCCGACGCCAAGAAAAAGCTGACTTTCGATGGCGGAAACATACACCAAGTTCCTAATCGATTATGAAAATCTAGCAGCCTTACAAAGATGGACTGAGGAGGAAAAGATGGAGCACCTAGGCCAGCATGTGTCACTCGACCTAGGTAGGGACATAATGGCAATCGTAGCAACAAGTGGATCATGGAAAGAGGCCAGGGACGTGATGATGAGGAAGTATCTAGCAGACGAAAAGATGGCCACGGAGGCGGAACTGGCTACAGAGCAGAGGAAGAATTTCGCAACATACAGCGACTTCCTAAGGGAGTTTACTCTCGTAGCACTACGAATCCCCGGAGTGACGGACCGAATAATGAGCAAGTACTTCCTAAAGCAGTTCACCGAGTTCGACAAAGATAAGATTWTGTCCGCYYACCAAYAGACRGCRAARTTCCTGAACACTAGAGACGTAGATTTCAGCACTATAACGGACATTGCAGAGAAGATGGTGGTGACCGACTCGTTGGCCCTGCTAAAAGAGGGAGAGATCATAGATTTGACAGGCAAGACTGGAGACAAAGTGAAGAAAGGAATCGAAAGCCTGCACGAGCAGGTCCATGGGGTTGACGGCAAGATAGAGAGAGTAGAGAATGCCTTACTAGTAATGCAAGCCCAAGTCTTGCAAACGCAAGCAGTACGACCCCCCCTCCCGCCACAAGAGGCAATCGTACCGCCAGGGATAGCCAACCGCGGTAATAATCGAAAGGACCCGGCCAATGAGCAGTGCAAGTACTGCACGATAGTTGGGCATTTTGTCCGCATGTGTCCCAGGCTTAACCACGATATCATCCTTAAACGGTGCTTTAGAACTTTGCGCGGGGAAATCCTGGGGCCACGGGGAGAGAGGGTAAACTGGAACTCGCCGGGAGGGATGCGTAGAGCAGTAATCGCACTTAACAACCTGGACGCAGTCGCGGTTGAGGCCGAACCAGTAGAGGAACTTACCTGGGGACAGGCACCCGGGCGAGGGCACCAGGTTAACTTCATCACGGAGAGTGATGACCGCGACATGGTTAATGTGACCACCAGACAACGGGGTGCTACAAAGAAGGTAATTCATGACGCGGTCATCGAAGACGCGCAGGAAGGGTCGAATCCGCCAACATAATCGGATCAGGACAAAGTTTAAGGCAAGCCCAGGGAGGAGGCGCCGGTAGACAAAGTAACATCCGCAAAGAAGAAATTCAGGTACCAGATCCCTATCCTTGTCGATCCTGAGATATACCACATTCTTAGCCAGTTGCTAGGGACCACGGTATCGGTTTCCTTCCAGACCATGTTGCAGGCTAGTCCTAGACTACTAAAGGGCCTAAGACAGCTGCTAACAAGGCAAAGGGTGGAAGTAGCGGAGGAACCGGATGTACGCGAAGAAGGCAAGGAGGAGGAGCCACCGCGGAAAGTGGCAAACCTTCAGAGGGCCCCCGGGGATCTAGAAGATCTAGAGAAGACCTTTGCAGACATCCGGCTAAGCCTGCCAGACCGGGAAGGCGGAGAAGTCATGAGGACACCGCCTGGCACGAAACTGAGTTTCCATGCACTACCGGTAGGGAAACTGAAAGTCCAGATTGACACCCACCATACAGATGCACTGGTAGATGGCGGGGCAGGAATTACACTCATTCGCAAGGACTTTGCAACAATTGTTGGGTGTCCAATCAACCGGGAGGTCACGGGGAGTGTCCGGGGAGCAGGAGGGGAAATCCCCTTTTCCGACTATGTTACCAAGTGCGCAGTTAAAGCCGGGGTTAGAGAGTCTATATGGTCGTTCCAACGAATGACCGTCATGGACGAAATGGACCATGACGTGATCCTCGGGCGTCCGTGGTGTGCGAACGTAGAGATGATCGGGATGCATCTGCACGACGGCGCCTACATGGCAGACATAGAGGACCCGGTGACAGGACGAGGCGAGCTGCTTCGCCTTATGGGAACCGGGGGAGACACGCTAAAAGGGAAGCTCGCAACCTGGTCACCCTCCTTTGAGGAGAGTGCTAGAAAGGGGGTTTTCGCATGCATGGAAGGGATGAGAGAGAGGGTGGAAACTATGATCGAAGAGGCCTTTAGTAAGAAAGAATGGGTCAAGATGGGACTCCCGATGAAGAAACGTAGGTCAGACGAAGACGCCCTGGGAGTCATGGTAGTAGAGAAGGAAACAGAGGTGGAATTGGGAGCCAGTTTGCCCAAGCACGGGAAGATCCGGAACAAGAAGGATAAGGTCACACTAGAAATTTCGGACTTACTGCATCTTGTCAAAGCAATCAGGTACCACAAAGTAGCCGTTGACCCGGCCACCCTCGCCCGCTTTGAGGAGAGGATCCAAAAAGGCTATTGCCTAAATGGGGAGCTGGTCAGTATTCAGCCAGTATTCAGCCCCGCATTGTGGAAGCCCCGCAAGCAACTCCGGCCGTTCATTTTTTTGAAGAAAGATCCCGGAAGGAAGCGTTCAGAGGTATAAGCCAGTAGGAAAGAAGGCGAAGCCGGTCTCCATCCTACTCGAGATGACTAAGGAGGAGGCCATGGAAAAGGAGGAGGAGGTTCTTCGGGTACTTAGAGAAAGGAGGGTGGCGGAAGGACATATGATACCGGATGAGGTGGCCCAAATCATGAAGATCGGAGTAAAGGGTTTTCTGACGGAGCAAGAAACACAGGCAATCAAAGAAGTATGCCAAGAATCTCACCTAGCATTCGCTTTCAATAACCATCAGAAAGGGCGCCTGGACGCTAAGTTGATCCCACCAGTCAGGATCCATACGGTTGAGCATGAGTGTTGGAATGACAAGGGACCGGCCTACGACTTTGGGATCGCAGGAGAAGTGACGGAGCTCCTTAGGGCAAAAGTGGACTCCTTCGTGGCAGAACCCACCGCGTCTCCTTATGCCAATAAGTGGTTTGTATTCCGCAAGCCCAACAAGTCACTTAGGTGGATTCAGGACCTGCAAAAGTTAAATGCTGTCACCATCCGGGATGCGGGATCGTTGCCGCAGGCAGATCTCCTGGCCGAATCCCATGCCGGACGCAGTATTTACTCCTTGATAGATCTGTACTTAGGATACGACCAGCTGCCGCTGGACGCACGAGATAGGCCCTACACGGCTATGCATACGCCAGTAGGACAGTTGCAGATGCCGGTCACGCCTATGGGATTTACTAATGCGGTAGCAGAGGCACAGAGGAGGATGCTCGCGGTGGTCGGGGACATGTTCCCAGACAAATGTGAGCCCTACATTGACGACAACCCTGTCAAAGGAGCACGGGAGAAGGATGAGACCGAAGTCCAGCCGGGGATAAGAAAGTTTGTTTGGGACCACCTGCAGGATATTAAAGAGCTGCTGCGAAGATTCCTAGAATACAACATAACCGCTAGCGGTCCGAAGAGTATCTTGGCAGTTCCAGAAGTCACAATTTTGGGATTTCGTTGTGGGGCTTATGGAAGGAAGCCGGATCCGGCTCAGACAGATAAGATAGCACAGTGGCCTACGCCCTTTCGAACTACAACAGAAGTCAGGGCATTCCTGGGGGTGGTAGGCTTTTGGAGAATCTTTATAAAAGGGTTCGCAAAGATAGTGGAACCGATTCGAGCCATGATCCGTGAAGAAGGCACGCTCGATTGGACTGAGGAAAGGGAATCGGTCGTCCAGACCCTGAAAAATATTCTCACATCCGAAGAAGTCACCCTTGCTGCTCCGTGTTTCAACGACGAGGTCGGTTGACCTTTCATCCTTGAGACGGATGGAGGACCAATGACAGTCGGCGGGGTGCTAATTCAAAAAGACGAAGATGGTAGAGAGCGACTGATCAAATTTGAGAGTAGGACGCTCAATTCAGCTGAGCGGCGCTACGCTTAGTTCAAGAAGGAGGTACTTGCGATACTGCATTGCCTCAAGACCTTTCAGGCTTACCTCTTCGGGAGGAGGTTTATCCTGAGGGTATCCTGAGGATAGACCTAACCAATGTCGTCGGGGCCCTGAAGAACTATAAGCCTATAAACCCGACTGTTGGAAGGTGGGTAGGATTTATCTGGCAGTTCGACTATAAGATTGAGCGCATAGCCGGCCTTAGGAATCGAGCAGACGGACTGAGCAGGGTGACCCTCACACCCGAAGGGCTAGAAGAGGCAGAGCCGATCGACGCGTTCCTCGACTACGAGGGCGGGACGCTGGTAGTAGACAGCGAGATGGGCGAAACCACTTGCACAACTGGGGAGCTATTGATCAAAACACTCGAAAAGGGGCCTCCGACAGTGGTTGCCGAGTTAAGGGAAGGTACGGTCACCAGAGTTGGAAGGAGGGAAGAGAAGGACGCTTGGGGCAGTGTTGTGAAGCCCCGGGATCAACAAATCGCACTAGCCGTTGAGGGAGGCTGGAGAAGGGTTATGAGCATGAAGGAGTCTCAGGAGCTGGAGATGCAGCACTATCAGGCCTATCAGGTGGATAATAATCAGACGGGGACTCAAGAAGAAGAGCAGTTCTTCCTCATCAAGTCATATGAAGGTTTGTTTAGAGAAATTGGGTTGCTACTAGCGGGGAACAAGGAACCCCACGAGGTTAGTCCTAAAGCTAGGGAGGAAGCGGATAGGTATGTGCTTAGAAGGGGGCACCTATTCCGAAAGGAGGAAGGCCTGACGCCCAGGAGAGTAGTCTGTGGAAGGATGCAACAGCTTGACATTATTCAGGCCATGCATGACGGATTGGCCGGTGGCCATCGCTCATCCAAAGGGACCCTAGCCAAAGATAACGCCGCTCTATTATTGGTCGGGAATGGCATCTATGGTAGCCATGTACTGCCAGACCTGCAAAATCTGCCAGGAACGAAGCACGGTGCGCATTTTCGAGCCATTTAGACCCACCCGCGTGCTGGGGCCAGGGCATATGGTACATCTCGACCTGGCGGTCATGCCGGTTTCCAGAAAAGGGTACAGGTACATACTTGACGCAAGGGATAACCTTAGTGGGTTTGTCGAGGCAACCACGCTCAAGAAGAAAACTGGGTTTGCAGTTGCAGACTGGGTGGGGGACTTTTATCTGAGGCACCCGTTCATCAGGAGATTCATAGCCGACAATGGGACTGAGTTTGTGAACCTGGACGTCCTGAATACCTGCACGAGGCTTGGCGTACCGATCAAATTGACAGAACCATACCACCCTGAGGCCAACGCGCCAGTCGAGCGAGGGCACCAAACGCTTAAGAACACGATTGCAAAGTTGGCAGCAGATGACCTTGGGAACTGGCCGGACTATCTSAGACACGCGGTATTTGCCGAGAATATGACACCAAAAAGGACGACGGGATGCATCCTGGCAGAGCTATGGTATGGCAGGGAGATTGACTTTCCGGTAGAAGCGCAAGTACCCACCTGGAACAAATTGGAAGATGACCCTCATCTGACTACGGAACAATTGATTGAGGCAAGGTGTGCACAAGCGGCCAGGAACGAGGAGGTCTTGGAAGAAATAGCTCACAAGGTACTAGACAGCCGCATGAAGGACAAAACCAGGTGGGACCAGTTGAAGAACATCCGGAAGGAGCCTCTGCAGGTCGGGGAGATTGTCCTAGTCAGAAATTCGGCACTAGAAACTACATGGTCAGGCCAGTTGGGGCGGCGATTCAAGGGACCTTACCGTATTGCAAGAAAGTTGGGTGTGAGCACGTTTGAGATTGAGAACCTGGATGGGATCACTATAAGGGGGTCAGTCCCTGCGCAACGACTGGTCAGGTTTCTCAATAGGGATCTGGTGGAACAATGGCTGCAAGAATCCCAGGATATGGAGGCAGAAGACTAAGGCCGCTCAGGACAGTGGCAAGAGGCCTACTTATCGCTTGTGCTTCTAGTTGTCGCATGGGAAAACGTGCGATTCGGGGGGGGTTTTCTGTATCATAGTTTTTGTGGGATACTGGGATGAGCAATGGGGGATGGGACATTGTACCATACGACATGGCATTGGAGGGGCGTTGGGAAAAGGGGGCGAGGTGGTCGGCTCTTCTTCCTTTTTTTTCTTCTTCATGCCTTTCTGTTTTCGTGGGAGCAACCGGGATTGGGGGACACGTGTGGGCAGAGCCTGGGATGAGTGTCACAAGGGAATGGGTTGGGGCTTTCTCCTGTCTTGTGTCCTGCCTTTCAGGTATAGAAGTCAGGCGGACCAAGATGACACCCAACAACGGGAACGATATTAATCAAGCAAATATCAATGTTGATGACCCATGGCGGCAACCAGAGAGGCCGCAAAACAGAAACAGACCGGTGCTCGTGATAGGATCGCAACCCCGGCCCCCTGTGAGGACGGGAAAAAGGAAGATGCGAGCCTGTAGATCCTCCCCTACAAAAGAAGGCGATGTGCTCCCAGCCTGGCCAGAGGATGAAAGTGAGCAAGAACGGGAGGAAAGGAGGGAAGAAAAAGGGACAGAGGACCAGCACAAGGAAGAACCTGGACAGGGAAGCCGGAAAGACGCGAAGGGATCCACAGAAGATGACAGTGAGACAGGGGAGGACATTCCGGAGATTGTAATTGTAAGTAGCGATGATGAGATGGATAGGGTCTCAAGGTCCAGGCCGAAAGGACAGGCATCAACAAGCAGGGCCTCAGAGGAGGTCCATGATTGGGAGGAGGTATTCGGCCCCACACCCAGTCATTGGTTCGAGGTGTGGGCCAGCACTTTCAGACATGACTGGATTATTATAGCCCGTAGCCTCATGGCGGCTGGGGAGAGGGTCACGCCAACGGACTTTTTCTCAAAAGAAATATTACATGATATGAAGGCAACATTGGACGAGATACGGACCTACGGGCTGGGGGTGGCGCCGCCACCAAAGACAGAGGAGGGCAGGGGCGCTAAGCGCCAAAGAACGGGTCGGGATGCTGGGAATTAAGGGTTGGCAAACTGGGGTTGGATGACATGGTTGGATGTAAAATAGGGGCGCTGGGACTCGGCAAACCAATCAGGGAGAAAGGCGGGGGTGGTATTTTGTTAAGTAGCTTCCTAGAAACAGAGTTAGTCAAGGCAAGGATGTGGGACTTTATGTGAAACAATGCCGACTGACCTGAAACTTGCCAAAAGACATAAGGGCAAGCTGGGAGATGCAGAGAGAGACAACGTTTTGAGTATCAACTACTTTTTCTGAGTTTGGCAAAGACGAAGGAGAGTGTGATGGGGGATTCGAACATAAGGAGGCTGTCTCTTTGCTATTTAAACAATCTGTAATTCGGTTTCTGTCTTCTCAACAAATTGTGATACTCGTTGGATTGGAAGGACTTAGGTCTGGCTACAGACACAATGAGTCTCTCAGAATGTACGGTCACATGTGTGAATGACGATGGTGTCCTGTTAAGAGAGGTTAGGGAACCTACGGGTAGAACGACACGACAATGCTTTCCCCTAAGAGCCTAATCCGACGGAGTCCAGTCCTCAACATCAATATGCATGAGACCTACAACTATGATTGAACGACCGGGCCGGATAGCATTGCTAAAGGATGGGTGAATCCCACCGCGAGCTAGACGCTAAGTCGGATGTATGAGAAAGATAAGGAAAAGTGGAGCAAGAAAATACATAGCACGCTAAAACTAATGGCCACCACCTACCCCCCCCCAACTGACAATCGGATTCGAGCCTCCCTTAGCCCACCCCCTCGGGCGTTTGTATTGAGAAGGGAATGGAAATAGGGAATGACCCTAACCAGGCTATTCAAGTATGAGTATGGAATAGAAATAGGAATGACCCTAACCAGGCTGTTCAAAGCTCGAGATTGGAAAAGAAGAACGATCCTAACCAGGATGTTCAGATTGGCCCTTGACAAGGGTCATTCTTTGAAATTTGCACTGGGGTCCCCTTGCATGGCTGCTTGAGACGCTTGATATTGAAAGAGCTGAGCCTTGGAAAAGGACATTGGAAAGACTGAGATTGGAAAAGATATTGGACTCAGCCTTGGAAAGGATATTGGACTCAGCCTTGGAAAGGACATTGGACTCAGCCTTGGAAGAGATAATTGCATCAAGCATTGGACTGAGATTGAGCATCGGAATGAGACTGAGCATTGGAATGGATTGAGTATTGGAAATTGCATTGCATAAACAGGGGACCCTAGGCAACTTGAAATGGATTTGGAAATGACATTGAAATGAATTTCTCTTCTCTTCTAGTCTTTGGCCTCAGCGAGAGGGGGATACCGGTGCACGCACCGCGACCCCAAGACCTCTATCCCTTTGAGGGAAAAAGTCTCAGCGTGACATGCTCCTCCTTTAAGAGGATGAGGGTTAAAGGACTAAGGCACCCACCACTTGGATCGGTGCGGGACGTCCGGAACTGACCCCGACAATGAGCTCTAGTCGGGGAGTTCAAACTGCGCCTCCTGTTGAATGCCTAAATGTCAAAGGGCGAGAGAGTCAAATGGGCAAGGAAGTCATTCTCATCTAGTCTATTTTGTCCTCTTCAACCACACGTCATGTCATAGAGGGGTGCCATGGCCGTTTGGGTCGGACCTCAGCTGCCCGCACTAAGTTGGGCGGCACTGTCCAAGGGGAGGGGCTTGGCGGAGTACCGGGTGGAGTCCGCGGCCACCACGGGGCATTGACATTGCCCTGCCGGAGCATTACAACCGTTTCGGGACTAATCGCGAGGTCTTCATAACTGCACTCGCGGACTAACTGAGAGCCCCAAATCTCTTGGATTGGATGAGGCCGGATTCACAAAACATACCACTTGGGAGAAACGATTCGCGAGGAAGCCACTCTCGGGCAGGATGGGGTTCTGGGAGATAGGGACTAGACCTGTCTCACGGCTGGCGAGGAGGCACCTCAATGATGATGCCTATCTCCAAGTTGGTGGCCGCCGGACTAGGGTAGAGGATGAGGTGAGTTATCAACAAGGGAAGAACTGATCACCCTTCCTCTTGCTGATGGGCCGGCATCCACTTACTCAGTCGGCAGGCAAGGTCTGCGTGCCTCCAAGTGAGAACCTGTAACGTGATGGGGACATCGCGATTGAGTGGGGGGAAGGTGTGCCATCTACCTAAGGACAAAGCGTGCAAAGAAGTAAAAGACCCAGGAAAAGATGGACAAGAAAATTGCATTGGACTTGGCTGAGCTGGGCCATAAAGGTGCCTGACCACATGGATTGTGAGAATTGCATTGGACTTGGCTGAATTGGGCCATAAAGGTGCCTGGTCAGACGGATTGTGAGAATTGCATTGGACTTAGCTGAATTGGGCCATAAAGGTGCCTGGTCAGATGGATTGTGAGAATTGCGTTGGACTTGGCTGAGCTAGGCCATAAAGGAGTCGGTCATATGGAGTGTGAAAATTGCCTTTGGTCGTGTTTGAGCCGGGTCACAAAAGAGCCGCCGAGGGGAAATAAAGAAAACAAAGTAAAAATGAAATGAAGAAAAGAGGGAAGGGGGGAGGATTCTTGTATTTGAGTGGGGGGGGAAGAAAAGGACGGTCTTTCCAAAATCTATAAAGGATCAAAGAAAACGGGCAAAACGAAAGCACAAGGGAAGGGGGTAATGAACGACAGAGCGATGAGGTAACTGGGGTGAGACGCGGGCAGGATTGGCAGGACCTGAGAAAAGGCCGAAAAAAATGACCCAAGGGAAAAAAGGGAGCAGTGGGGAGTGGCGGAGAGATGGAATCGAGGTTATAATGCAACTAAGGGGAGTTGTGTCTGTGTTCATCAATTCGAAGTGGGTATCACCACAGCAAAGGCGGCGGTTGTACTGGACGAACACCCCCCTTCCGAAGCGGATGCCTGGCATTGAGTCACATCCAAAAACTTGCCTACAATTGTTATCAGCAAAACCAAGGCAGGAAAAACCAACCGGACTAGGGCGACGAATGGTCATCCCGAGGAGGAAGTCCGTCTGCTAGGAATTAAGAGCAGGAAGCAAGGAGAGTCTCGCCTGCCTCGTGTTACTGGAGTCAAAGGAACGCCGGGCTGCCCTGCTGGGTATACAGAGGTGACTGAGAAGGAAACTTGTGTCTCGGTTGAGGGGAAGATAAAAAGGCAGAGCTATGACGAAAATGAGCAGCCTTGTCTAAGCTGTAGGAAGAAAGGGGAAAGTTCGAAGAGGAAACCCCGACCCCCATACCCTCCCCCGCCCTGAGGGGGTAAAGACAAAAGGAACCCCCGAGAAAAGATTGGGAAAAAGACAAAAAGGACCCTGGCAAGCTGATCGCCCATCTTAACCCTTCCCTCCATCCCCCCCGTCCGTGCCTTCAGATTCCTACTAACTATGGACTAATACGCGATGAGGACATCGCGAATGAGTGGGGGGAATATGTCGGGACCGGTGGGTCCCGAATGAATTCCCGTCACTCGAGAACTTGGATTTGACCGATTTGTGCACATCAGAGAAAATCGGGAGCAGTGACGAGACGCGNGACCGGTGGGTCCCGAATGAATTCCCGTCACTCGAGAACTTGGATTTGACCGATTTGTGCACATCAGAGAAAATCGGGAGCAGTGACGAGACGCGGAAAAGACGGGGCGTCTGGGGAGAGCGGCCTACCGGGTAGAAAACCACGAGGGAAGCTGGCAAAAACAGGAGAGACGACTACGAATATGCAAATGCAGAAGACGCAGTTTGTGAACAGGGAAGTGTCAGGAGCAGTYGACGGAACCAAGTATCAGGAGGCCACGAAGAACCAAGCATCAGAAGACGTCGGTGAAATAGCCGGCAATTGGACGACGAGGATGCCAGACTGACCAAGGGAAAACAGGAACGTCACCCGGGGCGAAGCCGGAAAAGACGGGAGGAACTAAGATTAGCGAAAAAGCAGAAAAAAGTCGAGGCGTCGATGGAGAATCACTGACAAAATGAAAAGGAGCGGGGGTGATGTGAGAAATTCAGAAAGGACCTGGGATGCCCCAGAGGAGTCCTTAACTGAATGGGGTAGACGGTAAAAATAGCCAGGTGGCGCATGCGGACGGCCCCATCTGGACCATGGGTCAGGATGGGAAAAATACACCAAGCACCGCTGCGGCAAGCGCCGGCGTGGGAGGCCGCGGGAAAAGTAGAGAAGTAACGGCAAGGAGGCCTGGCTGACAATCCGAAATGGTCGGGGTCAGTCGCGCCAAGAAAAATAAAGTTCCAGGAGGGCCGCAAGGAAAAAGGGCTACGCGGGGAAAATCGGAGTGAAAGGGACCTAGACGGGGATGATGCTTCAAACTTTGAGTTTTCACTGATTTAGGAGCTTGGGTAAGTTGCGCTTCACTTCGGGTTACTTCGGTGTTGTTTCCTCCTCATGGATTGCTTCAAATCTTGTATTTATACTGTCCTTGATGAGTGTGTGTGTGGCGCTTCACTTCGGGATACTTCGGTGATGTCTCCTTCTCATAGATTGCTTCAAGTCTTGTCTTTATGCTGTCCTTGATGAGTGTGTGTGTGACGCTTCACTTCGGGATACTTCGGTGATGTTTCCTCCTCATAGATTGCTTCAAATCTTGTCTTTATGTTGTCCTTGATGAGTGTGTGTGTGGCGCT